ACAATAACAAACGTATGTGTAAAATGCAATGTGATATTATTGTTTACGCAAAAAGTTATCACGTTTTAAATCACATGACTTTTTGGCCAATTATTTTTGTAACACACTGTATTTACTCTTAAAATAAATGATTTTATTATAAAAGACATACTTAGGTGATCAAAAATATGTCAATACTCATAATAAAGTAATATTGGGCATTTATACTTGCAATTGGACGCGTCAAACAAAATCTACCTATGAATATAAAGGCAAAATTTGACTTTGAGAGTCAGATTATTTTCGGTTTTATCAACAACCTTCCTTAAAAATTTTCTTAAAGCAAATACATATTATAAAGAAGCTATATCTCAAATTTGGTGGTGGTTTTTACACAGCAAGGGTATCAAACTAGGGTGTGAAGGCATTTGATTATAAAATTTTACGAATTTTAGATCATTAATTTTTCAAAAATTGAGAGTATCTCATTATCACATTAAAATTAAAGGCCTATTCTATCAACTAATAATGCTATTTTTTTAAAAGGTACGACAGAAAGTAACTTCTATACTTTTAAAATTTGCCCAAAATTTAGGAGGTCTTTAGACTGAGCCAACTATATAAGCAGATTTTTTGTTGGAGGTTCACTCAACTTACAAGTAATTTCCATTAATATTAATATTATCATTATTATTAACGATGTTGTCACTGCTTATAATATTCATTAAATTCATACTAAAAAAAATAATGATTAAAAAAAAATCAAAGTTTAAAAAAAATGATATTGTGAGATAGTAAAATAAGGACCGATAGAGAGGTACCATAATGGACATTTGATTTCATTGGCTAAAATTTGTGACGATATATCACGCAAAAATTAAATTTTATTGGCTTGATAATCATTACGCAATTTGAAACAAAATAAATTTATATACAGTCAACCCCCTCTAAGTGCACCCCCCTTGGGAATGAGTGATAGCGTGCACTTAGAGAAACAAAGCATTTCATTGGTTGTACGTGACTCCAATAAAGAATAAAAATTATAACATTATTATCACTAAAAAAAATTTTTATATAATTATTGATTAAGATAAGATTCTATTGTAGTTTGCCTCATTGTATTTATTGTTTCAAACTAATATATATATCAAGAGAATTAACCAGTTTTATTTGTTGACTAGAATAAACAAAATTGAATTAGATAAAGTTACTCTTTTCAGAGACATTTTATTTAGAAGCAATAAAAGAATAAAATATTTAATGAGATGAGTGTGAGTGCAAAAATTAGATGGTTGGGTATGTAAGAGTATATATTATTTTTAATTTATTAATGATAAGGTTAATTTATAATAGAAATTTTATTTTTAAAGTTGGTTACAAGAGTTTAGTTATTAAATAAGATTCTTGATTCATGTCTTATTTATAATAATTTCAACTACATAGGCTTCTTTGTCTGCATTCTTGTACTTTTGTTTTAATAGCCTTTGTATCTATTAAAAAGAAAGAATTCTTTATTTCCCTGTCACTTAATAAAAATGAACAATTCTTTATCCACCCCTTATAAAATAATTCTGTCATACTAATAAATTTAATTCTTTACTTTTTACTAATAATAAATTTAATTCTTTATATTCTTTATTATTATTTACCAAGTATAAAATTTAATTCTTTATCATTTCTTACAAAAAATCAATTCTTTAAAGAAAAAGTATTTTTAAATAATATAGTTGCCACCATCACAATTGATTGATAATTACCTATTTCTCTTGTGCAAAATAAAAATCATTATTTAAAAAAAAATGGAAATTCTGAAAAATAGGAAACAAAACAATGGACTCAATAGAGTGTCATCTTAAGGATACTTGTATGAAGCCTCAACTAAATTCTAGTGATCAAAATTTTCAGCAGTTCATAAAGCTGACATTTCTTCCATGTGGTCATATTTATCATGAATATTGTTTACAACATAATGAATACAAGTGTCTATATTGTTTAAAATATATAAAAAATCAGATTAATATCAATGTAGAATCTATTATTAATAGACTTACAAGTGAAAAAGATCTTCCAATAGAAGATGATCCTGAAGATGAAATTCAACCATTAGAAATTGATGAACCTGAGGAATTACAAATGGAATTTAATCTTCAAGCTGAGATTGAGTTTAATACAGCACTTCAAGAGTTCCTAAGGGATTAGATTTCATATAATAAATTTTTTTTTCTTTAATTAATTTATGTATTATTGTTACATGTATAAATTTAGAAATTCTTTAGAATAATTAACTACCTTTTGAAATCCTTTTATGTAATTAATATAACATCTATGTATAATAATAATAAAAATTGTATTTGGTGTATATATACTATGTCTTGTAACTAACCAAATAAATAAGAAAAATATTAATATATATATATGTGTGTATGTGCATGTATAAATTTAGAGTTTTTTAGAACAACTACCTTTTGAAATCATTTCATGTAATTAATAAATCATGTAACATCTATGTATAATAATAAAAAAACTGTAGTCAGTGTATATATATTATATGTCTTGTAATTAAATCAATATATATGTATGTATGTATGTATGTATAAATTTAAAGGTTTTTTAGAACAACTAACTTTTGAAAACCTTTCATGTAATTAATAAATTATATAACATCTGTGTATAGTAATAAAAAAATTGTATTCAGTGTATATATATTATATGTCTTGTAATTAAATCAAAAGAATAAAAAAACAAAAATAAAAAAAATGATTATATATATATCTTTTTGCATGCATAAATTTAAACAACTAACTACCTTTCATGTAATCAACAAATCACATAATGTCTACAGTTCACTCTTTCTATAATGAACTCCTCTTTTGTCTCTCATTCATTTCTTTGTAATTAACTTCCCTCTATAATGAAACTTCCCTTTTCATTTTTTTATAATTAATTAATTTTTCTTGATAATGAACATCCTAGTAAACACTCTCTATAACAAACAAAGGCATTTGAATCAATAATTAAAAATATTATATGTTTTGTAATTGTATATTTTTATTTTTTTCAAAATAAAAAAATAAAATTTTTGCGCACCTTGATAAATTTATATATAAAATTTGAAATCTTTAATTCATAATGAGATCTTGCAGTTTGCGGGATTAACGGGATTATTTTTAACCAAAATAAAGTTTCCAACAAAAGGTATATTATTGTAAAGTATATTTTGGGTTTTACAATTATTTTTGATCATGTTATTTACGACCATGTTTTTCTATTTTAAATAATTGAATTTGAACGGTCACACATATAAAAAAGATCGCCAATTGATTTTGTCACATGTGACAAATTCAAATGTCCGCTATGCTAAAAAAATGCAAATATGTAACAATTTTTAAACCAATAGAAATTAATTTTGTGTGTGACTTTTGGAAAGGGGGTAATCGCAAATATCACAAAATTTAGCCAATGAAATCAAATGTCCATTATGCTGTATTAACAATAATCCTTTATATATAAATAATATTTTCAATGAGACCCACCCAGAATTAAGAGATTTATATGAAAATTTACAAGAACTCCAAAATAATTTTATGGGAGCTTCTTATGAAGATATTGAATCAGAAAATATTATTGAGACTGCAGTAGAAGATTTTCATGATGACTTTGATGATGAAATAAATAATGAAGTTTTTTCAAATGTAGAAATTGAGAAATTTAAAAAAATTTACAATAATGAACCAATTGAAGAATCAGAAATAATTAATGAATTAAAAGCTGAAAATGAAAAATTAAATGAAAAAAAAAGAGCAAGCAAAAAATTATATTATAAATATATTTAAGAAAAGTTGTAATAAAAATTATTTAGAAGAAATTGACCAAGAAGTTGATATTTTACAGTTTCAAAACTATATTAATTTAACTAAAGATCAACAGGATATGTTTCTTTTGGGAATTATTTAAATGTCAACCAGAAATTCAACAACATCAACTAGTGAATATTTGACAATGGCTTATTGGGGTGTCCCACATCATATGATTTACAAACATAGTCGATCACATATATAAATTTTCATTAATAAGGATTTTTTAGGGGTTTTGCGGATTTATTATTATTTTTTTGGTGCCACAAAAAAATTTTTAAATTTATTATACAAATTGGCAAACTTCGCACAATTACAAAACTCAAAATAACTCTTAAAATATATGTCATATTCAAATAAAATTTATGTTTTAGATTCACTTTTTGATGCTCTTTAAACTAATAGAGAGCTTTTTACAATTTTACTTGCATAAAATTTTGTAACATATATTCACAACTTTTACTTTGATTTTCTAGCTTAAAATAATGTCATTGTTTATATTAAAATTAAAAAAAAGGGCTCTATTACTTTATTGTCCTATTTCTCTAGTATGTTTTAAACTTAACTTGGAGCCAGTATCTCTATTCTTTAAAGAGTTATAATCATTCAAAGTTTACTATTGAAAAAAAGATCAGCATAAAATTGTCATATATGAAAATTTATATATGTGATTGACTATGTTTGTAAAATCATATAATGTAAGACACCCCAATAACTCATCACACTACAATTTTGAAAATGTTTTGAGCTCCCAGGAAGTGTCTCTACAAACATAGCATATTAATTATTTGATACTGCACATTATCAATATAATTTTATCATTAAATACAAAAATTTGCATCACATTATAGCCAAAGTTTCTAGGAGAATAATCATTTTTAATATGACATGCAATAAGCAATTAACAAATGCAAGGGTTTACATTATAAAAAAGTAAATAATAACATTGATATAAAATAATAGATTTGGGATTATCTAATGAAGAAAAAGCAAAAGCAATTATTTGGAGGTAAAAATTAATATTAATTCTAATTTTAGTCATAAATTATGTTTTGAAGTCATGACTAAAAAATATTGTATTTTTGATTCTTTGACAATGATCTTTTAAAAATTTAATAATAATAATAATAAAATTATTTTAATTGAAAAATTTTATATCTGATTTTATAAGTTTTCCATTTTAGAAATTAGCTATTAAATTGCACTTTGAATGCCTCAATTTCACTTGCATTAAAATTATTTGTATTATTATTGAGTAAATCAACCTTTTTGTAATAATCATTGCCACTGTCACAACTAATAATATTATTATCCATCATTAAATCACCATATCCAAAATTAAAAATACTTTTATTATAACCATCATGATTATAACGATAATTACGATTATTACGATTATTACGATTATTACGATTATTACGATTATTACGATTATAACCATGACAATTATACAAATAACCATCATCATAATCATTATAAAGAGCATGACTGTAACTTTGTACATGACAAATGGTTGGATTTGTGATTTCATTAAAATCAAAAGAAAATAAAAAACTTTGAGAATCAGCATAAAAGCCATTCTGATAAATAAATCCAACTGAAGTATATCCACCAATAATCTTGTTTGTTTCATTACATTTTGTAACTACAAGACAAGAGCCTTGACTTTCACATTTATTATTAAATGTATTATTTTGAAAACCATCATGTGATGCCTTGTATAAAAGAGTAAATGTGTATTTATTTTTAGGTGAGGTAGAATTGATGTTTTTTTCATTTCTGATCCAATTGATAATTATCTTTAATTGCTCTGGTTTTATCAAAGAAGAATCAATCTTAAAATTAGATCTAGACAGCAAATTAGGATATTTTGGGATACTGGATGTCATATGATATGATACAATATCTTCATATAAATCAAATGGTATAATTGATTTATAAGGTCTAACTTTATGAAAAAAATCAGCTGAAGAAATTTGATAAAAACTAATTGATTTAACAAATTTTGATAAATTCTTTTTCAAATTATCAAAATCATCTGCACTCCATGTTGTAACATCAGAGTTTAAATTAGTTTGATAAATACCCCATTCAATTAAACTAGTCCAAATGTCAGTTTCTTCCATGCTCAAATCATCTCGTTTTAATAAATCATGTAAAATATTTTTTTCTATAGTTAGAAAGCTTGTTGAAGCAAAAAATGATTTGGGAGATTCACATATTAAACTTAAACAATATTCTTTCAGTTTCACACATTTGGGTAATAGATAGATGGTGTGTAAAACTTCAACATAATTTTCTTTAATCCAATTTGATTTATTTTTAATTAGATGATCTTCAACAAATTCATACAACTCCTCTAATAATAATTCATCAGATGCCACCAAAATTCCAAGAATATCTGATCCATCTACACTATTCAAATCAATCTTGCCTGTGTAAATATATCTAAATATTTAATAGATAAAATATATGTATAAATATATAAAAAATATATAAATATAGAATAAAAACCAAAATTACTTGAGTATTAAAGAGAAAACCACAGGGTCAATATTTGGTTTATTAAAAATAATTTTATCATTTTTTTTATGAGCCCAATTTTTTGATAGAGCACTGTTGAAATATGGTGAACGAATTCTTAAAATATTTGAATGAGCTTTGAATTCTTTAATATTTGGTTTTTTCCCAACAGTTATCAACACATTATAATCATAGCCTTCTTCTAACAAAGAACCAAAATTTTCCGACAAATTATTAAAAAAAGACATTTTGCATTGGCGTTTTGACAAAACAATTGCTTTTTTTTTTTTATAATAATGAATTTTCAAAATTATTGTAATATTTATTATATAAGAAATTAAATTTAATATAAAATAGTATATATTATTATTAACTTAAATAAATAAAAAATAATACTATTAAAGTGAGATTTTATTGTTGATGACATCCTAATTTAGAATTATCTTTTAATTCTTCGAAATCTTCACCACTAATTGTTATATCATTATTTGACATTTTATCAGTAAATATAGGTAAAATGACTAATCCAAATTTCATAGTAATTATATCATCGTTTTTATCATTCTCAATATTTTTGTTAACCTTAGATTCTAAAGATAATAATGCATCTTTATATTCATCTTCGGATGAGAATGTAATAATATCACCTTCACGATCTTCGTAAGTTAAACCGAATTGTAAAGGCTGTGGAATTCCAAATACATCACGTGTTTTCGTTTCTAATTCGTACCATGATGCTAAATTTTCTTTTGGCATTATAAAACACCTTGTAATATTTTCATACGTTATTTTAAAAGTTGTCATTTTTATTTTGGGTTTATTTTAAAAAAACTAACGAGAAAGAAATTTAATATTAATTTAAATTAAATTAATTTTTTTTTTTTTCACTTAAAA